TGGATGGATGGATGGATGGATGGATGGATGGATGGATGGATGGATGGATGGATGGATGGATGGATGGATGGATGGACAATTCATGTCCTTCAATGAACTTACTCACACATTTAATTTGGAAGGTAGAGCAAATTTTTGGAAATATTTACAGATGAGACATTGTGTTACCTCAAATTTAAAAAGATTGTAGAAAATGATATATTGAATTATATSAAGATGCCGCCTGAACGACACACTGCCTCTCAATTTTATAAGCTGCTAAGTTACAATCTGAGTAGTGAATCGTCAAATATTAAACTTCAATGGCAGAAAGATTTGAGAAAAGAGTATACAAAAGAAAGATGGTTGAGGGTACTGTCAGGGAGTAGTAAATATGTGAAAGAGGCCAGAAGTAAATTTATACAGTATAAGGTGCTACATAGATATTATCATACACCTACTAGGTTACATAGAATGAAAATAATGTCAAAGAATATGTGATGGAAATGTAAGAAAGAAGTGGGAACATATTTGCATTGTTTTTGGGACTGCTCTCTGGTTTCACCATTTTGGATTAAAATCTTGGAGGTTMTGAGTGCATGGCTTGGCTCAGAGATCCCTCAGACTCCAGAACTGTGTTTACTGGGAGACAGATCTCAAATGCCGAACACCCCAAAAGGAGCTTTTACAGTTGTGGTGGTCRGTCTGGTGACAGCCTGCAGGATCATCTTAAGACACTGGAAGACCACAAAGTGTCCCGAGCTAAATGAGTGGATTAAATCAATGACGGATACAGCTTCTTATGAAGTCATGCTCAACAACATGAAAGGGAACAGGGACATGGAATGGGATAGCTTTTGGGACTCATTGAAAAKAACTACGGCTTTGAGTAATGTACTGTATCTGGATGATGCTTGATTTTCCCGGACAATTACCTTTTCTCTCAACTACTAAATGTTTTTGAATTAACACTGTAACATACATATAATATATGACTGTACCCTAATATATGACTGTACCCT